GAGTGAGGGGGGGGGAGAGAAGCGAGGGAATTTGGAGGAAGAGGAGCCAATGAATGACGGAAGGAATGAGGCAGGAGAATTCTGTTTTCAGTTGGGGTTTTTGTTGTATTCTTGGGTTCGCGTTCCTACCCGGGAGCTGCTTTGTGTGGAGGCACGCAACGGCAGCCGGAGGGGAGGGGGTGGAGGGGGTTCCGTGTCAGGGAGCTCGTGAACGACCCTTCGGCGTGACCTCTGCGGCGCTGCTGCCTCCCCACTCTCATTGCTGAGTCGACCTTCGCTCTCACTGCGTCTGCCCGGGGATTGTTGTTGTTGTTGTCGTTGTCGTCACTTCGCTCTCGCTCCTTGCTGTGGAGACGGATTGTTGTGGTCGTTGTACGACAATCAACTCTCACGCCCAATTCGTGGCTCTGGACGGATAGAGGCGCAGGCCTGCAACTGCTGGCGGACAGGGCGACTCCCGTTGGGGGGAGGGGGGGGGGGGGCTCTAGGCAAAGCGTGTTGCCTCGTCTCGGTGGGGAGTTACCCACACTTCACCCCACCTCACACGACTGTACCGCTCGACTTGAACCTATAAAACTAAACGATTATTATTTTATCAGTGAAGGCCCACTGAGCTTGTATAGCTACTTTGCAGAAGCAACGTGGCTATCACGAGTGATAGGCTTATCACGTCGGAATTTACAGCAGCCAAAGACTCAAAACCTGACCGGAGTGCACCCAAATGTGCTGCTGGGTGGACAGCGGCGATTGGAGCCGATGGCAGCTCAACAGAGTCCGCCACGAGGGGGCGGTGCTCGCTGCTGCTGTGTGTGTGCTGTGTGTGCTGTGTGTGTGCTGTGTGTGTGCGTGCTGTGTGCGTGCTGTGTGTGTGTGTGCTGTGTGTGTGCGCTGTGTGTGCTGTGTGTGTGCTATGTGTGCTGTGTGTGTGTGCTGTGTGTGTGCTGTGTGCGCGCTGTGTGTGTGCTCTGTGTGTGCTGTGTGTGCGCTGTATGTGTGTGCTGTGTGTGTGCAATGTGTGCTGTGTGTGTGTGCTGTGTGTGTGTGCTGTGTGTGATGTGTGTGTGCTGTGTGCGCTGTGTGTGTGCTGTGTGTGTGTGCTGTGTGTGTGCTGTGTGTGTGCGCTGTGTGTGTGCTGTGTGTGTGTGTGCTGTGTGTGTGCTGTGTGCGCGCTGTGTGTGTGCTGTGTGTGTGTGTGCTGTATGTGATCCCAATCCGAGTACTTTGCGGTGTGATATTTTCAAAGTTTACAAATTTGGACCTTGACGCCGGGATCTTTAATGTCCACGGTAACGCCACACCGCAGTAATAACCAGGGCGGCCGCTGACACTGAACCGCGAACTTCTGCAACACGCGGCGATGAGTTGCATGCAACAGAGTTACACGACTCGATGCAATCGAATTGTTCAACTTGATGCAAGAATCTCGAAGCAACAAAAGTAAAGCGAGCGATAAAATCGAGTAGTTGCGCAACTGATGGCTCATAAAGCGCGCGTGGGCCCAGCGGCAAGAGAGCAAACACTGACTAAGAGGTTATTGAGTGGCTGGGTGAGTAGGTGAGTGAGTGTGGGAGCGAGTGCGTGGGTGAGTGGGTGGGTGAGTGAGTGGGTGAGTGGATGGGTAAGTGAGTGTGTGTGGGTGACTGAGCGAGCGAGTGTGGAAGTGAGTGGGTAGGTGGGTGAGTGAGTGGGTAAGTGAGTGGGTGAGTGAGTGGGTAAGTGAGTGGGTGGGTGGGTGAGTGAGTGGGTAAGTGAGTGGGTGAGCAAATGGCTGCCGAGTGGAGAGGTCCAGGTCTCGATAGAGATCAGGAGCGAGGAGTAAAATGTACAACAAAGTGATAAAGGAATCAGCAAATAAACAATTGAAGGTGATTGCAAGAACGCGAACGGAAATCACGAAGCAAGAGGGGGAAAGGCAGCCCCGAGCTCCACCGAGCCAAGGCACAGAGCCGCCTCTCCCGCCAAGGAGAGGAATGCGCCTTTGTTGCTGTGTGTGTGGGTATCTCAACCTGTCCTGGGCCTTCCCTAGGTCGACTCAGCCTCAAATTAGCACCCGGTGCCATGTGTAAACATCGCCGCTAGGGAGACGAAGGCGACCGGGCGTGGTGCTGGCCAGCCTGTCAAGGCGATAGGGGGATCTCTGTATTTACTTCGTGTTGTTTGTGTGCGTCTGTCGCTGTGTGTGTGTGCCCTGTGTACGTGCGTGTCCCTCTGCACGTGTGAGACCGCACGACGAGTGGCGGCGCAGCGCTTTTCGCGGCTGCACTTAGACGAACCAGACCGGCGAACCGGTCGCCCCGGTCGGACTCCCGGCGCAGCGGCTCACAGCTTTGAGATGAGTGCTGCTTGTTGCTGGCCGCGACCCAAGAGCGCTGGTATTGCTGATGCTTCCACCGCGTGACCGGGCACCCCGTGTTGTGATTTGTGTAATGAAGGCGATTTTAATCGGCGCCGTGGCACAACCCCCGGTAGCGTTTGAAGTCCGAGATATCAATCCCAGCACCACCACCAACAACACCACCACCACCAACAACAACAACTAGCAGCAGCAGCAAGAGCAGCAGCAGCAGCAGCCGCCGAGACTCAGTGCCAGCTCAAGTGTCTCTTCTGTGGGGGTGCGAAGGACGATGGGGGAGGCAGGTGGGTGGTGGTGGCGGGGGCGGGCGGGCGCTGTGCGGGGTGGAAGGGAAGCCGGCTCAGGGGAGCTCGGATGGGATGCGAATTGAATTCCACCATAAGTGAGGCAGCTCTCCCGGGCAGTGTGGTAAGTGCACGCGCAGCGGTGAAGCGCTACGCTCACGACCAACACCAGTGACGATTATCTGAACCGGGCAAGGGCCTCCCCTAGGTTGACTCGGCCCAAAACGAGTACCTGGTGCGGTGTGTAAACATCACCACTGGGGAGACAAAGGCGGCCTGGCGTGGTGTTGGTCACCCACCCCCTCGTGTGCCGTGCCGGCCTTCATAGGTACCGTCTAGCACCACTTGCCCCAACAGTCTGTTGAAGCTATACGAGGGATCTTTGTCTTTGTATCCACAGCCCTTTGTCAATCCACTGCTGGATGAAGGTTCCCCCCCACCCTCCCACGCCGCCTATCGGCGTTGCACGACCATACGTGACCACGCTGCTAAAGTGCGTTGCGTGTTCGTCAAACACCCGTGGGTCCGCGAAAGAATTCAGTCACCGCGATTGTGGAGGCGGCGGTGGGGGAGGGGGCGCAGTTAGCGAGCACCTATTACAGGCCGGCAGGGCGCACGAGCGAGGCGCTGTGGTCGGCATCAGGCACGGGCACATTAGTTTCGCTGCTGCTGCTGCTGAAACACCACAACCAGACGCTCGATCACTTCGGATGAGTCCAGGCTCGGCTATCAACTCCGCCGCGTCGAATTCGTGCGGCTGTGTGGGTGACCACAGTGGGCTAACCATTGATCCACCGCTCCTTCTACCAAACCCCCTCCAGCCCCCCCCCCTCCTTGTTTAATGAGCGTTCGGAACTTGAAGGAGAAGTGAGAGAATTTGAAAGCGATTGCCACATTTTCTTGCGCAAGTGTAATCGTGGCTGCCGCGTGACTTCATTGTTTAATTTACGAGGAATCAACACCACCCCCTCCCTCCCCTCCGTCTCTTCACAAATCTGCTCGTGAAGCTGTGGATATTTCCCAAGCAGGTGCACGCATCTGTGGCGTGCCATACGGAGCGGCGAGTGGCTTGGGCCTTCGTTCTGATTGCGTGACACCACAACCCCCACTCCATAGCTGCGCACGTGCCCACACAGGTGGGGATGAAGGCTCGAGGCAGAGGGGGGTGGTGGTGGTGGAGTTGGTGGTGGTGGTGATGGAGGGGTTGGTGGTGGTGGAGGTGGTGGTGGTGGAGGGGTTGGTGGTGGTGGAGGTGGTGGAGGGGTTGGTGGTGGTGGTTGTCGTGACGGAGGAGACTGGAGGTGATGGTAGCGGTGGTATTGGTGATGTTTGTTATGATGGTCGACGTGGCTTATGGTGGTATCGGTATCGCGGATTATTTGGCATTCATTTTCTAACCGATGTCGCCATTCACTCGATTGCTTTGTATGATAAATAATACAGACGAGGGAGTGCAGGGCAGGTGTGTCAGGCAGGTGTGTGCAGGCAGGTGTGTGCAGGTGTGTGCAGGGCAGGGGTGTGCAGAGCAGGTGTGTGCAGGGCAGGTGTGTGCAGGGCAGGTGTGTGCAGGTGTGTGCAGAGCAGGTGTGTGCAGGGCAGGTGTGTGCAGGGCAGGTGTGTGCAGGGCAGGTATGTGCAGGTGTGTGCAGGGCAGGTGTGTGCAGGGCAGGTGTGTGCAGGGGTGTGCAGGTGTGTGCAGGGCAGGTGTGTGCAGAGCAGGTGTGTGCAGGGCAGGTGTGTGCAGGGCAGGGGTGTGCAGGGCAGGTGTGTGCAGGTGTGTGCAGAGCAGGTGTGTGCAGGGCAGGTGTGTGCAGAGCAGGTGTGTGCAGGGCAGGTGTGTGCAGGGCAGGTGTGTGCAGGGCAGGTGTGTGCAGGGCAGGGGTGTGCAGGGCAGGTGTGTGCAGGTGTGTGCAGAGCAGGTGTGTGCAGGGCAGGTGTGTGCAGGGCAGGTGTGTGCAGGTGTGTGCAGAGCAGGTGTGTGCAGGGCAGGTGTGTGCAGGGCAGGTGTGTGCAGGGCAGGTGTGTGCAGGTGTGTGCAGGGCAGGTGTGTGCAGGGCAGGTGTGTGCAGGGGTGTGCAGGTGTGTGCAGGGCAGGTGTGTGCAGGTGTGTGCAGAGCAGGTGTGTGCAGGGCAGGTGTGTGCAGGGCAGGTGTGTGCAGGTGTGTGCAGGGCAGGTGTGTGCAGGGCAGGTGTGTGCAGGGCAGGTGTGTGCAGGTGTGTGCAGGGCAGGTGTGTGCATGGCAGGTGTGTGCAGGGCAGGTGTGTGCAGGGCAGGTGTGTGCAGGTGTGTGCAGGGCAGGTGTGTGCAGGGCAGGTGTGTGCAGGCAGGTGTGTGCAGGGCAGCTGTCGGTGGCTCGTCTCACCTGTGTGGGTTCTCTGGTGAGCCTTGAGATGTGAGCTTTTTGTATATACCTTTGTGCACTCTGCATACACACGGACAGACACGCACAGATTAGATGCTTGACATCAAATGAACTCTCTCCTCTGACAATTCGCCGACATCGTCAAACAGCCCCATAGCCCCACAACAGCCCCAAAATATGTGTATATTTATGTGTACACGTGTGTGTGTATGTGTGTTGTGGGGAGCGGTAGTGTAGCGGTTAGCGCGCTGCGCTACGAACCTTTCGACCCGAATTCGATTCCCACTCACGGCCAAAATCAGTGACGATTATCTAAACCGGTCCTGGGCCTCCCCTAGGTCGACTCAGCGTGTAAACATCGCCACTAGGGGGACAAAGGCGTGGTGCTGGCCACCCACTCCCTCGTGTGCTGTGCCGGTGTTCACAGGTGCTCGCTAACAGCACTTGCCCCTACAGTCTGTTACGGATACACGGGGGATCTTTGCCCTTTTTATATGTGTGTGTACACGTGGGTATGTGTGTGTACACGTGGGTATGTGTGTGTACACGTGGGTATGTGTGTGTACACGTGGGTATGTGTGTGTACACGTGGGTATGTGTGTCTATTGCGGAGGGAGAGAAGTTGCAGTCGTTAGCAAGTGGCGCTGTGCACCATGCCAAGATATTTTTCGTGCTGCCACGCACCGACCGCTTCGATTATCCATCGATGAGGAATCGCTCGACGTCCCCATGGAGTGATTACAAACTTATTTAGTTTTAACAGGTTAGGCCCCACTGAACTATGTATCTCTTTTTCAGAAGCGACATGGCTTTCACAAATGATAGCTCAATGAGGCGGCCTATCACCGTGTGGAAATGTCTAGCAGCCAAATACTTTAAACGCGTGATGTTGATTATAAATGTGGAGGGAAAAACCAGAGGACCTGGAGAAAAATCCACGCATCTACGGGGAGACAGACAGCCGCAAACTCAAAATATACAGCAGGCGCCAGGGTCGGGATCGAACCCACGAACCTCCTGTATACCAGGCGAGGTAGTCAACATCTCGCAACGACTCCTGCCCACTGAGGGCGACTGCCTGCCTGGCCGTCAATAGGTTTACAAAGCACCGCCTGTTTGACCTGGCGTTCACGGAGAACAACTAAAGCAACGTTACACGATGTACGGTGGCAGATTGATTTTAATTACGGGTTTTACAACTTTAATGGATGATAATGATGCAGGTAGAGGGAGGGGCCTTCGGTTTTAATGAAAAGCGCCTTTAAGGGCCCGCAGTTTGATTGATTGACTGAGATCCGAATACAATGCCTCACCATCCCCACTATTACGTCGGAGCATTGAAATATGAACATTTCTATTTAAGTTAAATTACTTCTCGTTTCGCTTTGGGCATTCTAATCGAAATGCCTCTCCGCTGCCAATGCTGTTGCTGATCGTGAGGTTGCTGCGTGAAGTTGCCTGCGACCTCCGTGCAGGATGATGCCATCGCACGCACGTGCGCGTTTATTTTTTGTCTCAAAATACGTTTTGCTAATTACGTTTGATTTCTCAAATTCATCCACAATTCCTGGTAACCCTGGTAACCCTGGTAATCCCTGGTAATGGATCTTGACCCTGGTAACCCTGGTAATCCTGGTAATCCCTGGTAATGGATCTTGACCCTGGTAACCCTGGTAATCCCTGGTGACCCTGGTAAACCCTGGTAATCCCATATAACGTTCCACACCCACTGCTGCCGTTAATGAGTGAGGACGTCCCTGGTTGTCCACAGCTTCTGTGGGTGTAACCCATGGGTCGGTAACCAACACTAACAAGCAGAGCCATTTGTTTTCGATTTCGGTAAGAACAACTCAACAGTGCTGCAAGGGCCGCGATGCATTGTGAACAACGTCACGCAGCAGTCCATTAGGAGCCGCGGGTTGCCAAATCATTCATATCGCGTCCATTTAAAAACACGTTGATCATCATGAAACTTGTGTTTTTTTTACTTGAATACACATCAGGCGCCGTCGTGAAAGCAAGCGCGGTCTTCACACTGCATCATTATTATTATTCGCTTCATCTCTCTTCTGAACTTCTGATTTATATGCTATGAAGAAGGGACATTTTCGTGTGTGTCGTCATTTAATTAACAGGCTGTACCCACACTCCAGTCCCCGCGGCCCCAACGCCACCACGCTCCGTCTGTCCGCGTTCACCAATTCACTCGCCTCATTCAAATATAACGTTAACTCGCTGCACGCGCCTGATGATTGTGCCGCAGAACAGCACACGTGAACACACGCAACACGTGCACACACGCAACACGTGCACACACGCTACACGTGAGCACACGCAACATGTGCGCACACGCAACACGTGCACACACGCAACACGTGCACACACACGCACACTTGCACACACACGCAACACGTGCACACACACAACACGTGCACACACACGCACACGCGCGCGCGCGCAAACACCGAGATCTCAATCTGAATGTGAATGATCTCTCTCTCTCACGCAGACGGCGATAATTGCTGAGCAGGCGTCACGTGGGACGAGTTCAACAAGTATCAGGCGCGTGCAGCGTAGAACGAGTCGATTATTACGAGTTGGTGGTGGTGGGTCGCGAGGCCTGGTGCATTGGCCGATCCGTGTCGGCAGACGATCTGCCGACACGAATCGTGAAGAGACTGCGAACGTCGCCCCTGGCACGGGATCAGCGGGGAACAGGTCGGAGCAGATTCCTGTCTCGAGGGCTCAGCCAACAACGCACGCACACACGTATAGTGGCACACACACACGTATAGTGACACACACACATATAGTGACACATACACACATATATAGTTACACACACATATAGTGACACACACGTAGTTACACACACACATACATATAGTGACACACACATACGTAGTTACACATACACACATATAGTGACACACACACACATATAGTGACACACAAATATATAGTGACACACACATAGTGACACACACACATATATAGTGACACACACACGTAGTTACACACACATATAGTGACACACGCACACACACACGTAGTTACACACACACACATATAGTGACACACACACACATGTAGTGACACACACACATGTAGTGACACACACACATATAGTTACACACACACACGTAGTTACACACACACACACACATATAGTGACACACACACACATGTAGTGACACACACACACATGTAGTGACACACACACATACAGTTACACACGCACACACACACGTAGTTACACGCACACACATATAGTGACACACACACATGTAGTGACACACACACATACAGTGACACACACACGTAGTTACACGCACACACGTAGTTACACGCACACACATATAGTGACACACACACATACAGTGACACACACACACATACGTAGTTACACACACACGTAGTTACACGCACACACACATATAGTGACACACACATAGTGACACACACGCACATATAGTGACACACACGTAGTTACATACACACAAACGTAGATACACACACACGTAGTTACACACACACGTAGTTACACACACACGTAGTTACACACACATATAGTGACACACATATAGTGACACACACACGTAGTTACACACACACACACACATAGTTACACACACACATATAGTTACACACACACATATAGTTACACACACACACAAGATCACACGCACACATAGTTACACACACGCGTGTACATACAAGAAAAAGACAAAGATCCCCCGTATAGCCTTAACAGACTTCTAGGGGAAAGTGCTGTTAGCGAAGCACCGATGAAGGCCGGCACGGGACATGAGGGGCGGGGGTAGCCAGAACAATGCCTGGCCGCCTTTGTCTCCCCAGTGGTGATGTTTACACATCGCACCAGGTACTCATTTGAGGCTGAGTCGACCTAGCGCAGGCCCAGGACCAATTCAGATAATCGTCACCGGTGTGACCGTGAAGTGGAGTCGAACTCTGGTCGTCGGGTTCGACACAGACACACATCCGAGTCGCAGGGTTCGGAGCGCTAACCACTGCGCCACCGCTCCCCACACACTCACGACACACACTAGCACACGCACACACTAGCACACACACACACGTCACAAAGCTCACAAAAGGCGCTTAAATGCTCACACCGCATTCGCATTCGCCTGCCAACATGCGGGCACACAAAGATCCACCGGAAAGCCTTTCACAGACTGTTGGGGCAAGTGCCGTGAGCGCGAACTTTAACCCGAAGACGGGACGCCACACGAGATTGGTGGTGTGGTTAAAACCTTCCCCGGCCGTCTTTGTCTCCCCAATGCTCGTGTTTAGACGCACCGCATCGGGCAACTCGTTTAAGGCTGATGAGAAGCCGCCCTATGGTAAGTTTCGATAGCACTTGCAGCTGCGATGTTATCCGTGTATCACATTTACACACACAGACACACACACACTCAACACTGACATACCTACACACACTGACAAAACAACGTAACACACACAACCACTGACTATTGTAACGTACACACACAACACAGACACACACACACAACACACACAATACACAGACACACAACACACACACACAACACACACACAACACATAGACACACACTTACAACACAGACACACACAACACACACACGACACACAACACATACACAACACACACATACAACACAGACACAACACACATACACACCACACACACCACACACACACAACACACATACAACACACAAAAGCAACACATACACACAAGCAAACCCAACAACAACCAACTCGACACATTGCGTAGCCTTCAAAGAAGCAAGTGTATAATAGGCGACGTTTCGGTAAATGGTCCTTCTTCGTGGCGTGTGACTTTCAAACGAGGACGCGTCGTACGCCCGCTGTCGTGCGGGAAGTTGACGCCTGCGCGTGTGACAGCTTACGGCACTTGCCCCAACTGTCTGTCGGAGGCTATACGGGGGACCTTTGTCTTTGTGTGTCGGGAGCGGTGGCGGTACGAACCCTGCGCAAGGAGTTCCATTCCCATCTCTCAGACGACATCGGCAACGAAAATCTGAATATCGGTCCTGTGCCGCCTCCTAGGTCGACTGAGCATAAAATGAGCACCTGGGGCGACGTGTGAAGGCGGCCGGGCGTGGTGCTGGCCACCCACCACCTCGTGTGCTGCGCCGGCCTTCATAGGTGCCCACAGCCCCAACAATCTGCTAAGGCTATACGGGGGATCGTTGTATTTGTGTAATTGTATAATGGTGTATGTGTGTAATTGTATAATTGTGTATGTGTGTAATTGTGTATGTTTGTATGTATATATGTGAGTGTATGTATGTGAGTGTGTGAATGTGTGTATGTGACACTTCACGTGGCCTCAAGGTGCACATAGCCTGGCACAAGCGTCGTGGTGACGTCACCGCCACTTAGTGGCGAATAGCGGTTGTTGTTGTGAGTGTGTGTCTGACCGTGTGTTTATGTGCGTGTGTGTATGTGTGTATGTGAGTGTGTGTGTCTGACCGTGTGTTTATGTGCGTGTGTATGTGTGTATGTGAGTGTGTGTGTATGTGTGTGAGCGTGTGTGTATGTGTGTATGTGAGTGCGTGTGAATGTGTGTGGGCGTGTGAGTGATTGTGTGAGCGTGTTCAGCACAATGTATCCGATGAAATGTTCCGAACGCGATGTTTAATTGTTGTCGCGGTAGTTGTAGCGGTCAGCGCTCCGCTGCGCTACGAACCCGGCCACCCGAGTTCGATTTCCGTTCACGGCCACCAACACCAGCGGCGATTATCTGAACCGGTCTTGGGCCTCCCCTAGGTCGACTCAGTCTCAAATAAGTACATAGTGCCATCACCACCAGGGAGACAAAGGCGGCCGGGCATAGTGCTGGCCACCCACCTCCAAGGTATGTTAAGGCTATACGGGGGGGGGAGGGGGGGATCTTTTGTCTTGTGCGTGTGTGTTTTTAAGGCCATTTGTTTGGCTTCGGCTAAAAAGATATTTGGCCGAATGTCATTCCTGTCCGACTGATGAATTGACACACCTGCGAAACACACAGCCCCGCCCCCCTACCCCAGCCCCCGCCCCACCCCCTCCCCTCTTCTTAAAGGGCACGAAATGGTCGAGGTCAGCGAGGATCGCCGTGACACCCCCCTCCCCCCCCCGAGGGACGGCGAGACTTCAGGGACTGACCAAACAGCTTTAAAAAAACACGAGCAGGCTTCATTATCGGCAAAGGAACAGCAACAACGAAAAAAATCGCCCCTTTAAAATGACCCCCCCCAGTTCCTCTGCGGCCCACGGGGCCTCAATCGTGGCCCCGTCACTCGCTCGCCTCCACCCCCCCCCCCCCACCCGGGGGGGGGTGTCCTGCTGACGGTGCTGCGTGGCCGACGTTGGGGCGATGCGTGGCATTGGCGCGGCCCCCCCTGCTACCCCCTCTCCCATCCATGCAGCCCCAGCGCACCACCTGGACACGCGGTAGCTGTGCCACACGGCCCCGCGTGGCTCTTTCCTACCAACAACAAGATCAGAGTTTGCGCCCAGTCTAGGGCGGATCGTTCGTGAACCTTCTTGGCCACAAAACCCTAAAGCGCATCCACTGCACAAGCCCTGGCAGCAGCATCGGCAGATGCGGGTTATCCTCGCTGATGATGGTGATGAGGATGAGGATGCACAAATAAAAATGTTTTAGCTCTCCGGGCATTGTGCGACGACTGTGATCACCCCGAACAGAGACCATGGGACGTCTAATGACTCAACGCCCCATCCACAAAAACGAAAGAGGAGGCATCATCGTCGTCGTCAGAGCGATGCACACCACTCCGCTACTTTCTGATTCAGCCACCCCAATATAAGGTTACAGTCGTTGCTCTGCATCGGCATGAGAAGTCCGCAAGTTAAGCAAGCGTTGAGCCTGGCTAGTGCTTGTTGGATGGAAGGGCTCCCCTGGGGGCTGTGCGGTGAGCCTCGCACGGTAGCCACGGAGTCGCAGCAACGCGGCCCGTTCTTGAATCCGTCTCGTGCGGAGCTCTGAATATTCTCCATCGTCTACAGGCTTCCCTCGTTTTACGCGGGGTCGCTTTGTGCGATTTCGCGCCGTGTATATGGCTCACCTACTTCTGGCCAAAATACGCCATATTCAGCGGTTTGAATTCACTCAGATGCGGTGATGCGGTTGGCCGTGTGACAACATTGTGTGCTGTGTGCGCTCCTCGACACGCATCTGTCCTCGCGCGGTTTCGCTTTGTGCGCCCCCCACTTTCTTTGGAACGCATCGACTACCACGACTGCTGCTACTCCTGCACAGAGCGAGGAATATCTGCCCCTGGGTTATCTCCGGGCACTTCCGGTTTCCTCCCACGCAAAGCCATCGCCATGAAAATGGAATTGGCCAAACATCCCAATGCAGGCAAAGGGTCTCGCGTAAAAACGATAATCTTCAGACCCAGCAGTTCAAAGGCCGACAGGCTGACGGACCAACGTGCTCTTTATTATTTTACGTGGTGAAAGAGGCCGTTGCATCTTTAGTACAACGTGAATATGTGATGTTTTTCAGTTAATAGCTTTTCTCACGAGAACGCGCGGATTTGCGTCAAGAACAAAACCGTCTCGCGCTCGAAACTGCTGCAAACATTTGCCCTCAAGCGAGCGCGTCCAGGACGCGGGGAATGGAAATGGCAGTGATATTTCTGCTCCGCGCAAAATGCAAACGTAGCGGCTGCAAGTCGCAGGCTCGGCAGTGGAGACTGATTCACGTCGACCCCTACGTACAGCAAGTATGGGGGGAGGCGGTGTCCCCTGTTATCCGCTGTGACCCCCCCCCCCCCACCGTGTTAATCGGAGGTGTGGATAAGGACAGCGTGGGGGGAGGGATGTAATGCAGCAGTGTAGTGGATAGACCATGGCTGCCTCTGCCGCTTCTGATCATGATGATGATGATGATTGCATGAGCAGGCCGTGTTGTGAGCTCGTGTCAAGAGTAGTCGCCCAGTCACTGCGGTGTGCAGATTGAGGGCTGCATCGTAGAACGTTGTCATCCGATCTGTCATAACAAACACCGCCCACTCACAGTGCGGTTCTGAATGCCACACATATCTTGGCACAGGCGAGTGGGTCGAGATTGGGCGGAGAGATAAAGGTGGCCGGCCGATTTGGTGGGACGATGCCATATCAGAGCGCTGGAGCGGCACCGGTGGGATCACGAGTTAGATGCCAGGATTAAGCCATCCCACGATTAAACCGACGTTCATGTGAACTCAACTCGGTCACCAGTGACTGCACACATTAAAAACAAACCCATCAGGTTATTATTATTAGAATTTTTAAGGTTTTATTTTTACAAAGAGTCTAAGGATTTGCTCTTGACAAGAGGTAGTTTAGTGAGATCCACTTCCATGGGCCGTTTTCTAACATGAAGGGCCACACTGCTCTGTGTGAGAGATCCTTAAAAGGTACACCGTCTCGTGACGTGGCGTCGATAGGAGACTTGGGATTGCCAATTGGGAACGGGTGGGGGGATGATGACAAATCTCTCGAAATTAGGTCAAGCCTCCCGTAAACCACGTGACTTCGGTGTGACCACCCCCACTCTGAGCCCCTCCCCTCTCGCCGCCGCCCCCTGTGAAAACAATCGCCACTCCTTCTCCTCCGTGCAACTCTGCTGGCTCCTTCTCTCTCTTGTCTCCCCTCTCATCGCCACTCTTCATCATCCCCGACATTATCTGGGCCCGGTTATTCCTTCTTCCCCTTCTTCTCCCCCTCCTTCTCCCCGTCCTTCTCCCCGTCCTTCTCCCCCTCTTGCACTGCTGCTCCTTCTGTCTTCCTGCTACCCTCCAATTTGTCGGTCCGAGCCATGTCTCCCCTCCCAGTCTCTTTCTCTTTCTCCCCGTACCTTGCATCCTTGACTCTAATTTCCCCCTTCCCGTGCTGCGCACCACGAGGACAACAACTCGTTATAGATGTATACACATCTTGTTTTTAAACAATGGCAATTCACGATTAGCGCCACGCTCACCTGGAAAGTCACAGTGGTGGATGCGTCTCTTTTCCAGCTCGGGGTTGTTCCTGCGGTTGTACTTGGTTATGACCTGGCCCATCGCTGCCAGCCGCCGTCGAGGACAAGCAGGAGGAGCCGCCACCCTCGCCGGAGCCGCCCTGCTGCTGCTGCTGCACCCCCTTGGTGGCCACCGCCACCGAGTAGGGCGGCGGGGGTTGCGCCGACGACAGCACGGTGATGCGCAGGTCTGCCGGGTGGTGCGGCTGCTTGGGCTGCGGCGGCAGGGCGGCCACCCCGTCGGGGCTGCCCGGCTGCGAGCTGGGCGGCGACGGGGGCAGGTAGGGCGAGGCCTGGCACCCCGGGTAGGGGTAGAGCAGCGGCTGCCAGCGCGAGCCGGGGGTCAGGTGAGAGGTCATCGCCACCCCGCCCGCGGAGACGCCGCCACGCAGAGTGCCCCCGACTCCGCCGCTCCCGCCCGGGGAGAGGTCGGTGATGGTGAGGAAGCCTCCGCCCAGGGCCGACGCGTCCACGGTGGAGGTGGCGATGGCGCCGTGCAGGGAGGGGTACGAGAGAAGCGGTTGCGGGGAGCATGGGGTCAGCACGAGGGGGCTCTGCGGGGCCCGTGCCGCGCACGCGGACGTGCTCAGGGGCAGCAGGTTCACGTGCAGATGCCCTCCGACACCGCTGCTGATGCTGCTATTGATGCTGATGCCGCCGTTGCTGTTGATTCCGCTGCTGCTGCTGCTGGTGGTGGTGATGGTTTTGGCGACGTCCTCGCCGGGCTCCTGCTTGATGAAGGTGCCCAGGGTGTTGCTCACCACCACCGCTTGCGGAGTGCTGAACACCTGGCTGAACTGTGGCAGTCGGTGACCATTGCTGACGATGCTGCCCGCGCCGTCGCCGTCACCGCCGCTGTTGCTGCGAGCGGACAACGGCTGGGGTGGCGGGGCCCCTGGAGGCGCCACCACCACCCCGCCGCCACCGCCGCCGCCTTTCGAGGACACGGGCGACGTGGCCGGCAAGCGGTGCCCGCTGCGGTACAGGCCCATGCGCAGGTGCCTCAGGTCCTGAGCGACGCTCACGTTGGAGGAGAACTGCGGCTGCTGCTGCTGGTGGTGCTGGTGGTGGTGGTGCTGGTGGTGGTGGTGATGCTGGTGGTGGTGGTGGCCCACAGTGGGGTCGCAGGTTTGTTCCTCGAAGAATTCGTCCACCACCGAGGCGCTGTCGCGCCGGTATTTGTGGCCCGGGTTGGCGCAGTCAGCGGCGGCGGCGGCCATGCCGGTGATGGCGGTGGTGGAGGCGGTGGCTGCGGTGGTTGCGGTGGTGGTAGTGGTGATGAAGAGGAATGCTTCCGGGGAGAGGTAGCGCTCCATCTCCGTCCTCGTCTGAGAGAGAGAGGAGGGGCGGGTGTACAACATCAACGTCGGTGGTGATGATGGTGGTGGTGGTGCTGATGGTGGTGGTGATGGTGGGAATCGAGAGGTTGTGTGTATATACTCTGAGGCAGTCACTGCATCACGCGCTTTCAGGTGCGCTTCTACGGCCGTCTGGAACGCACCTGGAGCCACCATTTGTCAGAAGAATCTTGCCACTACATTGGGGTTTTAATTGCATTTTTATTTCAGCCAAATAATGATGAGTGTGTCTATACGTTTTGGAGACAAGCGGAGCATCCGGAATGCACCCACGCATTGCGCGAGGGGACAACGCTCTATCCCCGTACAGATGAAACAGATGGCTATTAGTCACACTTGCCGTGCCGCCTTCTCCTGGCGAGCCAAGGGTATGGCGCCTCCTCTACTCCCAACATGAAGGGGGTTATCACGACATTCGTGCGGTGATCCACCAACCTCAACTCCATCCACACAGGCCACGTGCATAGCCACCGCCGCGCGACTAGAACACTGAGAGTCTAGTACACGAAGAGAGCACCAGGACGATTCTGATAGCGAGTCGAGACGGACACGGGGAGACGAGATCGCCACGGAGGACTGTGACGAGATCGCCACGGCGGACTGTGACGAGATCGCCACGGCGGACTGTGACGATCAGAGATCAACGTCAGCAACGGGGAATGGGGCGGGGCTGGGAGCTTGGTCACGTGTCGGTTATCGGAGCGAACACAAAATAACAAACGAGACTTAACGCTGGGAAATGGAACAAATGAGAGTAGAGTACAACGCGATGTGGGTCTCTGGAGCATCTACACGAGACCTCGACTGAAGACGCCGTGCAGACACAGTTGGTGCGTATTTGTGTCATCTCGATAGTCTTTGTGAGTGTATGGGTCCCTGTGTGAGTCCGTCATGGGTCTCTTTGTGTGTCTATGGGTCTCTGTGTGAGGCTATGATGGGTCTCATAGGAGGAGAGGATGGGATTGATGCTGTACTCGAACAGGCGCAGGGAGTCGACAGCACGGATGGCGGGGGGGGGGGGGTGAAAAGAAAGTTCTAAGGGACGGGGGCAGCGCAGGAGAGGAGCCAACTCCCACTGAGCCTTGATTGCTGGAGCAGAGAGAGTGGAAAGGAGTAGAGTGAGATGAGAGGTAGGAGAGCGCGTGGAGGGGAGTAGAGTGAGATGAGAGGTAGGAGAGCGCGTGGAGGGGAGTAGAGTGAGATGAGAGGGGAGAGGCAGGAGAGTGCGTGGAGGGGAGTAGAGTGAGATGAGACGGGAGAGGTAGGAGAGTGCGTGGAGGGGAGTAAAGTGAGATGAGAGGAGAGAGGTAGGAGAGTGCGTGGAGGGGAGTAGAGTGAGATGAGAGGGGAGAGGTAGGAGAGTGCGTGGAGGGGAGTAGAGTGAGATGAGAGGGGAGAGGTAGGAGAGTGCGTGGAGGGGAGTAGAGTGAGATGAGAGGGGAGAGGTAGGAGAGTGCGTGGAGGGGAGTAGAGTGAGATGAGAGGGGAGAGGTAGGAGAGTGCGTGGAGGGGAGTAGAGTGAGATGGGAGGGGAGAGACAGGAGAGCGCGTGGAGGGGATTAGAGTGAGATGAGAGGGAGAGGCAGGAGAGCGCGTGGAGGGGATTAGAGTGAGATGAGAGGGAGAGGCAGGAGAGCGCGTGGAGGGGATTAGAGTGAGATGAGAGGGGAGAGGTAGGAGAGTGCGTCGAGGGGAGTAGAGTGAGATGAGAGGGGAGAGGTAGGAGAACGCGAGTCTGCGGAGTAATTGAAGACAATCTAACGAGACCAAGAGAGAGAATCGTGACAAGTCGTCGTATCACCGGAGTTGTGGGGGTGGAGGTTGGGGTGACTCGTTGCACGAGCAGTAGCTACAAGATAAGAGCCACTCGGGGTGTCGTTGGGTCGCGTGTTCATTTAATCTCCAGCGCGCGGGTTGCGGGAGTGGAGGTGGGGGGGGTCAGCCACGCTCGCTCCACGCGGCTCGCACCGAGATCTATTCTGGGGCGCCCGGGTAAATTTAGCGCTGCGATTGATTTCCACATTCGCGTGGCAACTCAAGCCGAGCTCTCCCTGCGCACCGCAAACCCCGTCGTGAACGCCGCCCCCGCACCCCCCCCCCCCACCACCATCCCCTCCTTCCCTGCTCCCCCGATTCTCCGCTCCGATATCCCACACCGCTTCCTTCTGCTGGCCTCAGAACTCTGCTCGCTCCGCTCGACTTTGCCTGCCAACCCGCTGCAACCTCACGGCTGTAACCAACCAGGAGATCAATCACAGCCGGGCGTCTGTCCGGGAAAGAGAGCCATTGACGTCCCGGCACACCACATCTAGTATGCATATCTCGCTATGGATGCAGCTGCCAGCGGCGTGCGTCCGCCTATTCCAGTCCACCAGCCAACCCGGAAAATATGTCGCGAGAAATTAACCCCCCCCATGTCCCCCCCATGTCCCCCCATGCCCCCCCATGCCCCCCATGTTTCCCCATGCCCCCCCCCCCCCATGTCCTCTCCATGCTCCCCCCTCCTAGCCCCCCCCCCATGTCCCCCAACACCCCTGCATGTTCCGATGTCGCTGCATCCTGCCTCCCCCGATTCTTCGCTGCTCCTCTCTCCTCTCTCTCTGCAGTCTCCCGACTCCCTGCCCCCCCCCCCCCCACGACTCCAGGGCACTGCGCGGTCTCTACGATCCCCTCTCCGATCCGCGTCGCGTTTGTCGTGGGGGCGACATGAGCGACGGAATTAACACGGGGCGGTTGTGGCCGTGTTCGTCTCTTATCTCATTCTCTCCCGTGTGTCGTCTTTGTCTCTCCCCTGTGTCGTCTTTATCTCTCTCTCTGTCTCTTTGTCTCTCCACGTCCTCTGGCTGTCACGTTCAATGCGCGTCTCTCTCTCTCTCTCGGTGTATTTCTTTACAGTTCCTCGTCTGCGTGTTTGTGTCCGTGTCTGCCTCTGTATGTTGCTGTCCCTCTGCCTATGTTGTCGTCCGCCCTCCATGTGACCCGTCAAGATTTCACAATGTTTCTCGACGCGTGTATGTTGAACTTTTGTCGCACCGTACGTAGCCAACCGAGCTAATCGGAGGTGCGGGGGAAAGGCCAGTTTCTTGGTGTCCGTCTCTGTATGGGTGCCTCCGTTTCTGCGCGTGTGTTTATCTGCCCGCCTCTCTCTCTCTGTCTCTCTCACTCCCTCCCCGTGAGTCTCTCTCGACGCTCCCCGTGTCTCTGCTAGCCTCGTGGGCGCCGTCAGCCACCGCCCCAGCTGAACGACTTCGCGTCATGGGCGGTCTGCCCCCCCCCCCCTTCGCCCCCCCCCCCCCCCCAGCGAACTTCTCCTCTCAGCCGGAGCCCAGAAGAGGCGACCGCCCTTGAACTCGAGCGATGCTAAATGTTGTTTAAGCACTGAGCCTTTGTCGTCTTGGGAATTCGGGAGACCACGGCGAGACCGCGGGGGTGGGAGGTGAGACCTGGGACGGTGGTGGTGGTGGGAGGGGGGGGGCGTGGGCTTTAACCGAGAAGTCGCGCTCCGTTTCTTCTCGGCCGAGGTGCCCAGCTCTCGGAGTGAGATGAGGAATTGGCTCACGCACTCACGGAGCGACCCGCGCGGGCCCCCCGACTGTTTGAGGATCGGGCCACCGTTTGGTTTGGGCGACGGGACAAAGCGGCGGGCCGAGTTTGAGCAAAACAACAACAACAACAACATTTAACAATCACTAAAGAAAAACACGGCGGGTCGATCCACGTGGTTTTTGTTTTACCCACCCATACTTCACCACACCAATAGCAGCGAACAATTGACGACCCCCCCTCCCTCGCCCGCGAATCGCCGCGCGTCAAGTCGGCCGTCGGCGCTCCCGGCATTCCGCACGACGTTCTGACTGGGAGCTGTGGGGACGTCGCTCGTTTCCACATTCCCACGGCCAGGCCCAGGCCCAGGCCATCCATAGGGGCGCCACGCGTTGAGGGTCGTTGATTAGGGCACATCTGATGGACGCCTCCACGTGGACTCTGCGCACGACGCTAATTTCGCGTCTCTCTAATGAATTCGCTTTTACTTTCGAGGGAAATTAACACGAACAGATTAAAAAAAATGTTCGCCCCATCTTCCCCCCCCCCCCCGCACGCTCCAACTCCGACTTGGCACTGTTCCCGTGAACAAACATATATATTTATATATTTAATTTGCTTATTCGCATACAAAAAACAAGCGAAAGACAAAGAGTGCAAATAGAAGGGAGTGCAGGTGAGGGTGGAAACCCAAGTGGGCTTATATAGAAAACAACATCACAAACAATAACAATGCATATACCAAACTTATTGATCAATAAATAAAAATCGAGTTCCTTCCACGCTCACTACCAGATCGACATCATCATCAGCAGCAGCTACACCGGTCATGATTTATTCACTGCTGGATGAAAGCCCCCCCCCCCCCCCCCGAATGATGGCATGAGCAATATGTTCAGGAGCTGAATATCAATGTGGGGGCTGCTGTCCACGTTGAGAATGCTTCAGCGGAGAGGGAGAGCGAGCGAGCGAGGGAGGGAGGGAGGGAGAGTTCGCGTCGTTTGGCTCTTCCTCATCCTCCTCCGTCGAAGGAGCGCGGACTACCGCGGTTGGCTTCAAGTCTTCTACTTGATCTACACAGGTCTGCCTTGACCAGCAACAACAACAACAAGGGCTATGTATTCTCTAAATAAAGGACGCAGCGCTGGTAATTCCCACTACTATAATAGTTCGACTCTTATTTGGCAAGTCAGCTCGCGTGCATGGTGACTGTCACATCGCAGGATTTGTCAAGAGATTTGCGACGGCCTGGGGAGGCCTTCATCCAGCGGTGGATGGATCATGGCAGATGACGATGATGATGATGATGATGATGCGATAACGGGGATTTCTACGGGGCCCGTACTGTGGCCGCGAGCTCAGCACAGCCGTTCCCGGGGCTGTGGGCGGCGCTCCGGGCCGGCTCCGCGGCTCTCTGCGGCTCTTGC